GATCGAGAGAATCTTCCTGCTATTCATTTGGGAGATAGCGAAGCTTAAACTTTGAATACACGTCCATTCAAGAACTTCAGCCAAACTGACATCTTCGGCAGACAAAACATATTGTACAGCTTCCTTCTTCTCAGACAATAGTTGCTTTTTCTTAAGAAGTTCTCTAGCGGATTCGATCTTATTGTCAATTTTTTCGCATATTGAAGTAATTTCCTTCGATTGTAATCCCTTAGCGGCCATTAGATCCCCATAAAGTTGCTCCTCCTTGTGGACCTCGGACAGCAGATCTTGAAGCCGGGCTTGGTAATCGTCAGTGGATTTCTTCTCGTCTTTCGGCAACGTAGCATCTCTCCTATGGTGAGTTCTCTTGATCTCATACTCAACGCCTGGCTAATCAACTCGGAATCCATTTCTGCTCGATGGGAAACTTGTGATCCAGAGAAAAACGACCTTAGCGACAAAGTACTTTGAATCACCTGCTTGACTGCAAGAGAATGTCGGGGAAGTGATTGAGCCAGCGTGTCGATCGCTTATCACCTTTTCTGACAATCACTACTGACCACTGCGCTACCCCCACTTTCCACTCACGAGCATTTACAAATTTCATGAGATCTAGCCAGCTGTGTACGGTAACAGTAAACTCACAGGCTTGTCGGCCGGATAGTACACTCGCATGAAAACACCACTGTCACCATCGCTTGAGTCAGTGATCATCAAGTCAGCACATCCTGCCGCATAGCTGCCAGATCCACAAAGTGGTAATATAGAATATCGAGTGGTAGACGACCACAACGCTCCCATGGATCATCGATACCAACAGGAAGCCGAAACCTCAACTATAAGAAAGCACTTGTTTTACTGGAGTAACGGAAACGATAGTCTTTTGACAAAACGTCTTGACCCCTAGGGGACCGCATGCTACGAAACATGGCACGCACCGCGAAGTCATGTCTCACTCAGCTACTGTGATGGCGGCGTCGCGTCCCGAGGCAAGGCAGGTAGGCAGCATCTGCACTCGATCGCGCCTGTAGATGCTGCCTGCCTGTGACTGCCACGCGAGCGACCAGCGCGACGCCGCTTTTTATCGACGGCGGTCCCCAAAGGGTTAACAGACTAAACATTAACCCTTTCGCTACTACAGCTATTCTCGACTGGCGAGCGGCTCGGACGGCTACGAAGAGCGGTAGGCGAAGGATAAAGCTAACTTCTTTACATCTACTTATTGTGTAGTATGGATACAATTTGATCTATCGGGTCGTCGGTTGGCTTCATTTGAGACTGTGCCACTCTTCGCAAGCCGTCCGCGCGAACACGCGTGTATCGATTTCGGTACACGCCGCAGCGAAAGGGTTAAGCAAGCAGTACAATGCAATACTTAGGAGGTAAAGAACGTTTCAAGGTTCAAAAAAAAAAGAGATTTCGACTACAGAGACTTCTGAGGGATGATATGTAGAACCCTAACATTATTTTCGCTGCTAAAAAGCCACAAGAAAGGTTTTTTTTAGAAAACCAAACACATTAGTGAAAACTGCCACGATTTAAGTTTTCGAATATTTATGGATAGAACTCTAAGAAAAAAGTATTCTCAGCGAGAAAAACCTTTAAAAATCGTATATTTTCGGGATATTCGTCGTCCCAAGAGCGTATGTGGCGCAGTGGCTAGAGGTGCCCCGCGTCGCACAAGAGGTCAAAGGTTCGATCTCGCGCTCATGGCTCACCAAGCCATCCATCCCTCCGGGGTCGGTAAATTTGTACCAGGCAGGTCTCAGACTTGTCTGGGAGGCTGAACAGCACTGACTCGATGCAGATGGGGGTCACCGCGAGCCATTGTAAAGGCCAGATTTGGATTCAATTATCTCAAACGAAGTTAGAAATTGAAGACGAATGCATGGCGCATCCCTCAGGGACTGATCAACGCCGAGAGCTTTTATAACCTTATCGCCGTCCCGACAGGGTTGTACTTTCAAATTGCAAAATCGGATATTTCTTGAAAAAGTTATCGCTTCTGTTCCACTTCTGTGATGTACAAATGGTTCAATTTGGTTATCCAGGGACAAACGAATATTCGATCTCATTCGCTGGACAAGAACATAGGAGAATTAATAATTATCGAAATCTCAAATCTCTAGCTATAGCGCTACGTGTCCTTTTTTTGAAAAAGCCCTTTTAAAACGCTTTTGTACACAATATAAAATTATTTTTCACACCCGTCGTCGCGCGCCTTCACTTTTATCACGTGTATAATTCGCTGAAAGCACGAAAAGGATATGAACGTGTAGAGAAAATCCCACAGTATCCGATTCAATCGTTTTATCTGGAGTTTCTCTCAAAGGGGTAAGAAAAAAACTCCCAATTGAAAAACAAGTTGCACAGCACATGCCTAACGCATCAGGCGCGCATTAATCAATAGCCCCGCCCCACGCTTCATAGGCTTGCTGGTAAACAAGCCGCCGAATTTGTGAAACTCGATCTTATTTTCCCTGCTAAACTGCACTGAAACGGTCTTTCTAGAAAATAGACACAGCGCTGAAATCGTTGGAGATTACGCTATCGAATGATTACTAATAGTTTAGAAAAAAAGAGCTCTGCCCAGCCAGGTGTAGAGCACAAAACTTTTCTTTTCCTCCATCGCTATCAAAAGAGCTTTTCCAGAAAGCAAACACATTTCTGAGCTCTCCAAGACTTGTGGTGCTACCGAAAGAGTACTTGCAGTGTAAGGAAAGAGTTACATCCAGTGAGGTATAGCGAGATAAAGAAAAAAGCGGGTGGTCGTGTGAAACGTATTTCAATTGTAATATCGTTGTTATTTCCATGCTTATAACAAAATAATATTCATAATAAAATAATATATAAATAATATTCATGATAATATAAAAATAAAATTATAATAAAAAATATATAAATAAAAAAATAATATTTATCTCAAAATAACAAATAAATAATAAAATATATACGCATAACATAACATAGGAAAATAATAACAACATTACAGTTTAAGTAGCACATGAATACATTCGTTGTGTCCCTACGCTGGGGTTAGAGATGCAGATGATGTGGAGCAAACTGCCCAACTTTGCCGCGCTAAGGGCTAGAGATGCGGATGATGTGGAGCAGACTGTCCAACGTTGCCGCGCGAAGGGTTAGAGATGCGGATGATGTGGAGCAGTCTGTCCAACGTTGCCGCGCTAAAGGCTAGAGATGCAGAGAAGTGGATGCACGGCCCCGAAAGAAGGATTAAGATGACCATTCAGATGTTTACTTTGGCTACGTAAACTACAAAAAGCACTGCTTGCGATACAAATTGGATTGTCAACGAGCGATATTCAAAATAAATATACCTTTGGAACAGACGACATAGATCAATCTGTTCTTCAAAGAAGAAGAAGAAAAGATCTCGAAATATCAGTTCTAATCGAACAAACTGTGGTATCAGAGGGAGGGAGGCTCCGTAGCGTAGTGGTAGGGATTTTCCGCGGTATGGATGGAAGGCAAGTTCAACTCCCGCCCGGGGTCAAATTTTTTGCATAACACTCAATGATCTCCATAAATTTTATTAGTGATATATTTACAATTAGGAAGTAAGAGTAATAATTATCTGAACAAAAGGCTGAGAATGATAGAAAATCGTTCCTGGGCAGAGTAAAAGTGCTTCTTCCCACAATCAAATCAGATCAAAAATGAGAAATGAGGAAATAAGAAGCTTTATACCAGCCTTTATACTTCTTTATTTTTACAACTTTTTGAATAATTTTATACCTAATCTTATTAGAGCACTTAACGCTCCACTAAATAAGACATACAAAAAATAATCAAAAAAAGAAAATAAATAGATTAGGAAAACAGTTCAAAACATCAAGTCATGAGAACCACAACGTGGATATCTCGAAATCAAGCTCAAAGATAGAAGATGGCATAATTTAAAATAGCCAAAATTGATTTAGTACTTGAGGGGGCCTGTGGCGCAGTGGCTAGCGGTCGCCTTGCGACGCACAGATGGTCGCTGGTTCGAACCCCGTCAAAGCTCACCAAGCCTCCTATCACTCAGTGGTTAGCGAATTGCTACCAGACTTGTCTGAGAGGATAAGCAGCACTGTACTGATAGCTCGTCAGGGCCACGGCGAGTCGTTGTAATGGCCATCATAACATCCAGTCACGCCTAACGACGCTACGAATGCGGTACAATGTACGGGAATCTCTCTAGGATTGATCGACGCCTAGAGCTTTGTCCCTTAGCCTTTTAACTCACAAAAAAAACCAATTAGAAAATTAAATTTGAAAACCTTTATTAGAAGGACTAAGGGCCATAAAATAGGCGTGACAACGATAATGTGTACGTAGTGCAATTGCAGACAATCGGCCCCTTGTAACCATCGCGAATCAGCTGATTGAGCATGACGTCATTCCACTTGTGATCTACTTCTCTCATCCTCCCAGTAATTCTAGCGCTAAATATGACCCCTTACGAGGCTCGGTGGTAGAAATGTGAGTGTACGAACTACGGATCGAAGAGAGAGCGAGAGTAGAACAGAAGCCCTGCTGGTGCAGTGGTTCGTAGGCGCCCCGAAAAGGGTATGACCTGGGTTCAATTCCCGCCCAGGCTCGAGGTTTTGCCTATCAGTCAATATTATTGGATGTTTACTCCTAGCATCGTACAACTGCTAAAAGAAGAATTAAATATTTTTCTTGGTGTTTTTCTACATCTTGCGTTCGATAATGTCTACATAGAAAATTGTCTTAGTGATTTCCTTAGTCAAAACGAGGCTAAGCAAGAGTTTCCCTGATTCCAAAACGGTTCGCAGCGAGCAGGATTCGAACCTGCGCGGGCAGAGCCCAATTGATTTCTAGTCAATCTCCTTAACCACTCGGACATCGCTGCACATGTCGAGGCGCCAGCCTCGAGGCTGTAAAACCATCATTTATCTGGAATAGGGAAGTGATGGAGTATCCGTGGTGTTGGGATCCGTTGAGAACGACCAAATACACCGATAAGTTCGCGCATAATCCGCAACAGTCAGGATTTGAATCTGAGTCGGTAGAGCTCAACTGATTTCTGATCAGTCTCCTTAACCACTCGGACATAAGATACATAATATAGTCAGGGCTTTGAAAAAGGCTAAGCTGCTAAAATATCAGCCATCGAACTGCTTATTACTGCTAGTATTAGGTACCAGAGAGTTTTGGTACCAGAGAAATAAACATCAAATTTATGAACCAGAAGTAATTAATACTGCATGATTTTGGCATCGTTCGATTGAGCATTTTCTTGTGAACATTTTGGTATATAACTCGTCTATATTTGCTCTAAGATGAAGCTGTCGTGGGAACAAATTTGCTTGCTACTCATCCACGAATGGCATGTAGCTGAAGATTCTAATGAAGCGGCGCGTAAGGAACAATGCTGGTTAGGAAGCGGCGCGCAAGATCAATGGAGCCCACTGTGGATGGCCCGAGTGCGACTGATCCTCCAGACTGTTCTCTCAAGCTTCGAACTTCGCAAACCACTTCCTAGCCTCCCTTTCTGCAATCTTATCATCGCCCCCAGGTCCATTAATCTTGCGCGCCGCTTCACAAGCATTTTCCCCTACTCGCCTTTCGTGCATGACCAGCAAGCGAGTTTTTTTCCCAAAACAGCTCCAACTTATAGCAAGTATAGGCAAGTTGTATACCAAAATGTTCGCAAGAAAATGCGTAATTGATTGATACCGAAATCATGCTGTTTTAATTACTCAGATTAATAAATTTGATGTTTATTGCTCTACTGCCAAATTTATAGAACGACTCAATATTACCAATTTTTACTTAGTTGGATACTGGAATAGTCCGTCTTAACGAATTGTGCGGACTCCAGCATATGAAAGTGTGCTGGTTTAACCTATTTAATTTCCCTGGAGTCTCGAGGTAAGCCTAGCCGGAGCTACCTCAGGTCGTCCCCACATTGAAGCAGTCGCCAGCCCTTGCGGATCAGAAGGAGATTGCTACCTCGCGATTAGTAGCTACCAAGACGAGGGTCGTTCCTACTACGATTCACTCCTAGCTGGGCTTTACGAGTGGAAACGTCGGACTTCTTCTCAGCCTGCGTAATTCTATTGGAGGTTAGGCATTACCAACATCGCGTCGACTTAAACAAGATAAGCACTCAAGATTTGCATATTTCTCTGTTTTTCCCGCAATGTGCAAATAGCCTATGCATTACGCTACTGTGATACCAATTCTATTCAGGAATGATTGTTTTTCACATGTCGGAGCCTAATGATACTGCTATTGAATGCCGTAGTAACGCATCGATAGGTACAATGGCGCAGTGGTTGAAAATGCCTTACAACACATATACATGGTGGTCTGGTTCCATTCCTGGTCCCGGATCAACCAAACCTTCGAGCTCTCCAAGATTGGAAAATTAGTGCCATATTTGTTCGTGGACGATAGCAGCACTGAACACTGGTCGACAAGTGAGAGCCATTGTAATGGCCAGATATGTATGACAATTGCCTCTAACGATGCTTTGAGGAAATCAAATGCAACACCGCCCAGCGATTGGTTGACAGTGAGAGCTCTGTCCTCTTAGCTTCAATATAGCGATCCATAATGCCTTAGTGTTCCATTCGTCCGTCGCTGAATTGATAATAGGGCAAAATTGGTGGCGTATCATACATCTATGGACTTCCCTTCATATCTATTCGGTCCATTTGCCCTCTTCAATTACGACTTTAGTCAAGAAAAGAATGAATGCTTTGTACTTTGATAATTAAATGAGCACAGGGGAAAGTTCTTCTCATAGTAGTGAAGTTGTTTATGAATACTCCAAGACCAAAGTACAAACTGAAGGTGGACACATGTTTGGAAAGCTTTAAAAAGTAGAAATGAAATCTTGCTACGCTTCTGTCTAAGGCACATCTTTTTTAATCAATCATCGATGCGCCACTAAACAAAGAATATTTGAAGAGATTTTCGCTACAACCACTGATTGCGTTCGGATTACGAAACAGGATTTCGATACAAAGTTCTGTAGTGAAATGGTGAAGATAGAGCATTCGAGATCGATCATTTCCTGAGGGATACAGCATGCATTCGACTATATCAAGTATCGCTAGACGTAATTGAATGTATATCTGGCCTCATAATGACCTGAGGTAGCTCACTGATGTATCAAGTTAGTGCTGCTATCCTCGCAGAAAGCTCTTATGTCGAGTTGCCGATCGCGGAGAGATGTAGAGTTTGGTTAATCCGGGAAACGGGATGGAACCGATGGCTACGTTTGTATTTCAGAACATCTCAGTCATTTCGTTATACGCACCTTAAAGAAGATTACCTTGGTAAGATGGTAGCGAGTTTCGAGCCTTTTATGAGGTCTGGTGTAGCACACATGCAGTACTAGACAAGCCTGCTTCGCCTTTCGAAGCTCATTAGTGATAGGGTGCCTTTCAATTCACCGATCCCTTGTAGGGCACATACTCCTACATATTAAGAAATCGACGCCGATTGAAAAATCATCACAAGTCAGGTGATAAAATCTCCCAAGACCACAATGAGCAACAGTCGAGCTCGTGGCTGGCAAAAACGAAAGGCTAAACCGAAAGGCACTGTACTACTGATGAACCTGAAAAGGCGAAGCAGGCCTGTCTAGTACTGTACAAGTGCCATACCAGGCCTAGTAAAAGACTCAGAACATGCCATCATATTATCAGATGGTTACTGTTTTTGAGCGAGGTCTATGAAAGCAGTCGAATGAGGAGGTACCTTGGTAAAAACTTTTGATGATGTCGATTTTTAATGAAGCAGAATTCAATGACAGAAAGAAGATGAATAGAAATCAATTAAAAAAGTATAAATTAGTCGAAATTGATTTTCAGCGATCGGAAACTAATTTAGAACTCCCTAATTGCTGTTCTATAAACTGTGTATAACTATGCGATAAAGCGGGAAAACGAGCGGACATGTAAGCTAAGAGCACGACATCACGCGCTCACGACACCTTGTTTTCGACGCCTCGCAGTTTGCCGGCAGCGTCCTCCGATCTTTAATCGTTTCTGTGTGACGAAACTACTTCTACCCTCTCTCTGTCTAACTTGTTCGATAATGAAAACACACTCCTCTCCCTCTCCATGTTGAGGACGAATTTCCAACCTCCTTTTTATTCTGCTTAATTCGTAACGACGTAGATTATGATGTTGAACAGAAAAAGCATACGAACACGTCAATGATCCTCTATATGGAAGTAGGTGAATGCTACTGTCAAGAAAACCAGAGTAGATCTCGTCTACACCCCTTTAATCGCATTCACTAATCCTTACCCTAAAGGATGCAAATTTCTATCCTGTCATTGGTCTTCTTTATGGAGCGCTTCTTTCCACTAGTTAGAACTTGCGACATCATCTTATACAGCTGCTTCCCTTCTTTGTGCCCACTCTTTGCGTTCTTTGCAAAGCATTCCACGCCATCATGTCCATATGGAATGCTGCGATCTCATTTTGTCGTAATTTAATGTTGAGGCTAACTCGGGACAGGTGTTGGCCCGTATGTTATGAGTCAATGTTAATATATTCGTCTAAATCGGACTGTTGGTTATGAAGAGAAGCAATCTTCATCTCATGTTAACGAGGGCTTCACGGCCGCCGACTTAAGTATCCCATGTTCTGGGGAGCAGTCGCTCTGGGCGATGTCTTTTTATTCACAATTGTCCGATAACATGGTTCTTGCTTGACTTTTCCTTTTGATAACATTGGATGCATAGTATCTGGGACTTGCTAGCATATGCATATTATACTCACCCAACCTAGTGTTGTCCAACTCAGTCCAACTGAAAGCCCTGTTCAACAACATGATATAACTTTGCTTTTTTTGTTCAAGAAATATGAGACAAGAAAGAAAGTTTTGGGGCGCCTATGAAACCTGGAAATTTATGCTTGAATGCTAAACAAAAGTGATGACTATCATTCTTCAAAATAAAGACCATCTTTTTCTGAGACTTTCTGCCATCGGTCCGCCAAGTTTCGGATCTGGTCAAATTTTCATTCCTTCGAATGCACCTCGCTGCGAAAGACCTTTTCTTCAATATTAACGCGATAAAACACGAATTTCGATTGTATTATTGAACATGGAGGAGGCTTGTAACGAAGTGAAAATAAAAACAAATAATATACAGGCCTTTAATGGGAAAATCCCACATAAGAAATGTAATATTTGGATAGAACAGTACGTAATATTCCCATGATAAGCATGGAAGGTATCTCATGCCTATAAAAAGGGCCCCAAAACTTTCTTTCGAACTGTATTGACTATCTGGCTATACTACATCTAGCTGTTCAGTTAAGTTCCAAGCAATTTTGTGCACTTTTAGTCGCATCATTTCAGTAATCTGATGTAATCCGCGTGCAGCGGAACGCATAGACACAAACGTCCATGCACGATATATGTACTAATACTTGAGAACTTAACTTATCGTCAAGAATATCGTTCAGTGCTCTTCAAGTCTTATTGGGCTAGTAATACTTGACGCTCTTTTGGATCAGAAGGGGTTTTTCACAAGTACTTTTTGACCCGGAATTTCTGCCTCGTTCGAAGGGAGGTTTCGTTTGCCCAGGAGCCGGAACAAACAACAATCATTCGCGTCTTGCTCGGCACCTTTAATCACTGCAATTCTAATTTTCTGTAACATTGTGACGACTGAGCAGCCAATATTTGCCAGACCCCCTATATGATTAAGCAAGGGCAATACTCAAAATCGTGGTACCGAAACTGCTTGCACGTCTCTCATACCTTCCAGAGCGATGGTTTCAGTTCACACGATCAAATCAGTCAATTCTATAATCTCCTTTGGACGTGAATTTGGAAGTCAACATTTTATAATTACTCTCCTGATACTGAACACATGAACACAAGACTGTCACTGTACGATGTTTTTGACAGCTGACATTTCTACGGATTTAGGGTTCACAACCCGGAAACATCAAGTTGTTTGCTTCATAGTCAGCCAAATGTCTCCATAAATCCAACAGAAAAAGCCATCACACCTAGATTTCAAATGCATGAGATACAAAACAACTTTTCCATGCATTCATCGCATTCTTCCAGTAAATCTTCATT